TGTGGTTATCTACTCGTTGGTTGCCAATCAAATCTTAAGAGCAAAATGTTCAGTGTTAACACTCACGAACAGTCATTTACGACCATGATGAATAACCGTGGCACTGGCACCGAGCCTTGAGGGACACTGTAATGAACCTCTATCGGTTCGAACAGGGTGTTACGAACCCGCACATTCGGACGACGTATGAGTAGGCATGAATGGATCCAAACGAAGATAAGGTCACCGATACCGTAGCTCCGAAGATGGTGAAGAAGAGTCCGGTGCTCAAGGCGAGCAAACACTTTTCCAAATCTCCTATAAATAAATAGATGAACGCTTTATTCCTCAGCAGTGCGAGGTACAGACCAATTTGGTGGTCTTATCGACATGTACCACGTGATCGCATAATATAGTTAATTTTACGTTTTTTGTTCAATGGTTCCCATAAGGGTTTTTTTGAAGTGGTTAGCAGTTTGAATATAGTAGAAAGATTAAGAAACTGGGAACAATAATAAATGTAGACTTCACGGAAAGTTCAAGTAAAGTAATACGGTCATCCATGGAACTGTCCCCAGGGGACTTGCTTCCATGCAGGGTATTCCCACCATGGGTTTCACTCGCACTTTCATGCTCCAATTGGCTATGTGCCGGTGTGGCAAAATAGTAAATAGGCCATCAGAAATGCAGCTGTAACAATAGATCCCTTGACTTTAGTAAGTATAGGAAAGAGAGTGTCTGGACGGTAGTTTGCGGGCACTACACAATGGCACGCCTTGTAAATGGGATGAATATGCCACGCTTCCACATTGTTGTGGACTGTATTTCATCGAGAGGGCGCTGGCAAAACTAAGATACTGGTTCGGACAACCTGGTGGCATCTACCATCGATTAGTTGAGGTGAATGTTATTCGGACCAGGTGAACTGTACTCGCCTAGTGACGTCAGTCATTTCAACAAATAAGCGGGTGTGAAGGAGATGTGGCTAAGTCCTGGTGATGAGGTAATATGCGTGACAATGACACGAAGTGGCCATACGTTCTAGTAAGTAATACAAGCGAACTGATATCTTAGAGCATTAGCTGCTTCTTGGGTGGTTCGCACTTGTTCCCATATGGTGTTTAGAGAAGGAATGCCATGCTATAGTTTGTGAAGTGTGTTAACATGCTTGAACTGTTCTTCAAAATATTCTGCCCAAACTGTTAATCCGCAGGGCAAATAATGGATCAACTGTCAATATTTCTCAGCCATTCTCTCGCTAATTGATGACCTGTACACGTGTTCTAGATGAGCTGCAATAGCAAAGACTTTCTCACTTGTCCTTGCAACCAGCCAACACTCTCGGTCGTTTCGGAGACTCGTTTACAAAAGTCGTTTCAGGAATTTACACACATGCTGAAACAGTGCCCATTAGAACCAATTTAGGGGATCTGATCAAAGTGATCGACAACTAGGAAATGTATTCAGAGTTCAGATGTCTCGAATTTGGTGTACCACCGGCGTCGAAGGTACTTCTCATGACACATTTGTGAAGATCCCAGTCGGCGTTGGGTTCACGGACCCTTTTCATCTCTGAAATTTGGTGGCCCAGTTATCAATAAGATTGCTGAACTGTAGACGGGGTTCAAGTTACAAGTGTCAAGGTTAGAAGGCAGGCACTTCCTCGAAGCGGGAAGCTTGAGCGCCAGGCGTTCACGCATTGCAGCATACTAGGAATCCAGACACATGCTTCAAATGGACAGGCAGGCTTGGATTGATGGGTGCGCCAGTCGATGCAGTGTGAACGTTTGTGCTGAAAAACAGTCTGTGATCGGCGTAAAGTTCCAGGAATCGATCACGATTGTCGGTTCGGCGTGGATCGACTCCAAAGCGACCACACAGCAGTTGTTCGTAGTCCGAAAGACTATTTAATTAGGCATTCAAGTCACCATCAACAATTACGATGTCATTACTCTTGGCCATGCAAAACAGAGATTTGAATCCACGATAAACATAGTCTTTAATACTTTTCGAACTGCGATCAGTCGGAGCACAAACAGAGGCGTTGCTGTTGTGCATGTTTGCGTTACTTGTGTTTAGAGATCCGATATACCTGAGAGAGACTGCATACTTTACATTGGGTAAACCTATAAGGTTTGCAGTAAGTAGACTTTAAGGAGATTGAAATTGCATACACAATACCTTTGTCACTTATTCACTACATCAAAAATACTGCATTATGGCAAGACACTGAACTATCCAATTATTTCACAAAACTAAGAGAGACCTTCCTCTGATTAGATGATGATTTTAACTAAAAGAAGAGTTAAACTGCATCTTCGTTGTACTTTGCTAGTGGTTTAACTGATAGTGGGCTTCCTAAGTATAAACAACATGTGTGTAAAATCATAAAGGTGGTCTGTTATCCACATGTGTTCGACGAATATAGCCCTAGAATATCTGGTTGTTCGGAAAATAATTTCTCTTTTTCCAACCTATGATTTGGTTTCATTTATTACTGCCAACTTCACACTTAAGCCACAGCTTTTTATATTTGGACAATTGATACAGCAAAGCTTGCTTTTGGAAAGTTCGATGGATTCCAAACAATATTTTTTGTTTGACGTCCTTACAAATATGTGGAGTAAATAGCATCATTTTGGGCCTATTTGATTATTTTTACCATGGAAACGGTAAAAATGCTGTTCAAGCAAGAAGAATTATTGGAGTTGAATGGAAAAGTGGTATTCACAAAACGCCTGTGACAAAACTGGTTCGCAAAACGTCGATCCGGCATTCAATAGTTAATTATTTTCATGAATTAATGAATTCATTAATTTCATCCATTATTTAACTAACTTGCGTTGATTAATGCAAACCGGTGATTTACTACTCGTGAGATTGCGGAGAGATTAAACTTATCGGATTCGACTGTTTATGATCATCTGAAACGCCTAGGTTTAAGTTCAATGTTCGACATATGGGTTCTTCATGTCCTTATTGAAAGAAATTTATGTCGGCGCGTTGACGTCTGTGATTTACTTCTCAAAGTTCAAGAAAATGACCCGTTTTTGAATCCTATCATCATTGGGGATGAAAAATAGGTTATCTCCAGTAATGAAAAACGCAATAGGTCCTGGAGTAAAAGGTTGAACCTGCTAAAAGCATTTCGCAATCTGATTTCATCAAACATGGTGATGTTATTTGTTGGGTGGGATATCAAAGGTGTTTATTTTGATCAACTATCGGACAAAACAATGATCAAATCTGAAGTGTACTGTCTTTAGATGAACAATTTTTTGATTCAGTTAAACGGAGAAGGCTAGAATTGATTAATAGAAAAGGTGTAGTGTTTCATCAAGAGGACACGAGACCTCAAATGAGTTTGCTAACTCGCCACAAGCTTCTACAGCTTGGATGACAAGTACTACCACACCCATCATGTCCTCCAAATTCGGCAACTGCTGATCATTATTTGTTTCCTTCTCTACAAAATATTGTACACGGCAAAACTTTTACCTTAATTGAGGAAGTCAAAAATCACCTGAATCAGTTTGTTGCCAAAGAAGCAAAACAGTGTTATAAGCGTGGAATCATGCCACTGCCAGAAAGATGGCAAAATATATTGGATCAGAATGGATAATATCTAATTAAATAAAATATTCATTTGCTATAAGAAAACCGTTTTTAATTTTCATGGACGAAAAAGAAATTATTTTCCAAGCAACCAGATAGATTTCGGCACCTGCCATTTGGTTTACAAAACCAAACTACTGAGACCGTATAAAATGTCCATAAATAATTTATTAATGCACGGGCATTTTCTTTTGATGTTAGTGTAAACCACCCCAGTGCCATGCTAAGTACTTTCTCGCCATAATTTACCTGAGAATTTTTTGAAAAGCGCGGCAACAAGACGAAAGCTGGTAGGTGCATGAATTTTGTATTGTTTCCTCACCGCATTAACAATAACCGGTATGTAATTATTTAGTTAACTATAGGCGTAACCAAATAAGTAAGAGGTAAAATATGAATGACGGAAGTTCCACTCCTGTGATAATTTGTTCCTCATGCTTACGGAATTATATAATGTTTATTAACTGTCTGAGTGCTCTGCTACCAATGCATCTTGAAGCACCAGCTAACATAGGTGGTGCCATTTTGCACCGATTTAAGGAATACTTTTTAAATTAGCTGCGCTGCAATTCAGGTTCTTTAGGATGAAATATACATAAGTACTTGCTAGCATTATTTTCTTTATTACTTTAAAGTATCTTGCTTCGAAGATATCAAATTGTTGGTTCGATTTTTCCAAGCGGTGGGAAAATAAATGTGGGTACGCGCATTACAACTTTGTTTGCTTGGATGATACCCACACACTGACGAAATGGTAAATACTTCCAGCAGCCTTCGTGTGGTCCAACTGTACTATGACTGAGTGCGGTTTAGCAATGTGAAAAAGCCAGTACATATTTGGTTTCTTCTAATTAGTAGGATCTTATTGGTAACCGTAAAACGCGTTCGCTTTCTTCCTAGTCCATACACTAGCATATATTTTTACCAGCACTAATTTGTATCGTCAATAAAACTCGATTTAGAAACTATGAAAACCAACCTGAAATTTCTTTGTGTTTTGATGTGTATCCGAGATTTTTGTGTAGATTTCCAATCCAAATAATGCTATAATTGTTTCTACCAGACAAACATTGATGATGAGTTCAAAGTCTAGGTCAATATTTGCACGAGTGAATGTTGCGTTTCCTTCTGACAGCAGGTTATGACAATTCCACCTCACGTTTAGTAATACGCCAAAATTCCCATTGTGATTTATGGCAATTGTGGAGATACGTGCATGGGTAATTTGTATTTGACGACAGGTGCTTGGGTATCCATAATAGTTATATCGCGGTGGTTCACAACCTGTAGAGATTTAGTATTTGTCGATGCAGTGCACACTTTGGTAGAATGGAATTATATATTAAGGCCTTACAAATTTAATGCCGCATTTACTTAACGATGTTTGTTAATTTTTACCTTAAAAGTGGGTCCGCATTTGCACAAACAATGGCCTACCTTTTTCAAGCGGTATGCTTCTTCATATACATTTGCTTTTCCAAGAAAATTGTAAAGTTTAATGCTGGTGAGTCCTCCTATTTTCAAGCATTTAAGTTGCACTGTACAACTTGAGAATAGCATAAAAATTCACACGCGTTTTAACAAGTAGGAAGCTTAAATTAATGGAAAGCAGCGAGGTATCATGCTTTTCCAATAACCTTACATATATCAATTTGAGAAATTAGTAAAGGTTTCTCGTTTGTAGCATATAAGTTAACAACTTTGTTAGTAGTTTTAAGGTGTAACCTTTGCAAGTCATCTTTAAGTAGCCAGCAAAATATTTGCTTGCTCTAACCAGTAAAGTAATTTGTGGTACACGTTTGTGCCATGTATTTATCCCCAACAGCAATTACCTTCATTTCCTCACCAATGTCTTACTTCTTGTTTCGACAACATCCCAAATAAATACTTAGTTTCGCGCACGCTGGCCATTAATTTAATGTCTAACTGTTAATTTCATGCGCATGAACCGGTGTACATTTGGACGCTGATCAAAGTTCACTGGCACTGAATTATCCGATTTTGATGAGTTCTGAAATCAATATTAGTGTTGAGTTAAGCAGTATAAACGTTCATTCAACTGAGTTGCTTAATCTGCGTGCTTTGCTTAATCTGAATAAACATATTGTCGAAAATCAGCATGCACACGAAGACTGGACTGTAGCCGCAAATATGAAATATCGCATGTGCCGAAAAGCATTTTGCTATAATATGGACATACGAACTATAATGTTTGCTAGATGCCCCACACCCATGTCCAAATCTAGTTTGCACAATGGCCAAACACAAACGACTTTCTTCGCTTAAACTAGTCTTGATGATTTCTACTGGCTTAATAAATTATTTGCGTTGTGAAACTTACGCTGCAGCTATATAAAATGTCATTATAAATTCTAACGCAACTTATACGCTGTTAATCACAGAAAGAGTAACCTGATGATTTATATCATGCAGATTTATATTTACCAATTATCCAATCGAATGACACATCTTTTGTCTACTTCTCCGTTACCGTTAACAGAAAACACTTGTGAGTTTTTGGAGGACTGGGGTAGTTGGCTGCGATTGGCCATCCCCGGACTCGTCATGGTATCGTTAGAGAGCACTCTTTTCGAATTGGGTGGATTAGTTGCGGGTGAGTTTTCAGCAGGAAAGTGCTTGCCATTTGCACGTAGCAGATATTCAGAGTGACGCTTAGTTTGCGTTTAATTATGGTGTACATCGTGACAACTTTTATTTGCAAGTCAAGTCAAAACAACTTATGCTTTGTGCACCCAAATGGGAGCATTTGCGGCATTTGCACTATCACTGCGGATACGCTGAATGATTGAACAAATAAAAAATGTATTTAAACAAATTGTGGACGTAAATTTCATTCAAGCAGCTGCATGTGCAAAGCAATATTGGCATTTCTACATCGTTCTTGCTTCTTCAGATTATTATCATACTGACTACATGTTTAAGTGAAAAGATAAATGTAAATCGTTTTTATTCCCGACGACACAAGACGCGATTTATCGACATGATCGGAACTGATGTATTGCATTGAACTTTGAGTATAGCTGGATCAGGAAAATTGCAAATAAGCTCATATAATGAAGTTTGAAACTACAGCAAAGGCAGAATAAATGTTTAAGTGAAACGAAATGTGGTTAACCTCGCTTTGACTCCTCTGCCACCTCATCATCATCATCAACAGCTGTACATCAGCCATTTGAACTGGTGCTTCGCTGCCATACAACCATGAGGACCTATGAAATAAAAAATAAGAAGAGGGAGAGAAGGGGGACTTACCTGAAAACCTTAATGCCCTAAGCAAACATTCAGGGACAAGGCGCCTACACCTTGTGTAGACAACATACCGTCACACACAGCTGGCTATCGTGCAAAGATAAGGCGGCACCGGCGAGACAGCTTTTCTGCGGCTTCCACTGCCACGCGTCATAATCAGCCATTACCCCGCAGATAACTCAGCACCAAACATACTTTAAACAGGCAATCCGATTAGAAGACGGCAGCAGACGCGCCACTGGTGTCGGTTGCGAGCCATGTCCTGCAAAGTCTCGAGCCAAGCACAAGGTGAGTCACGTGGACTCCAACCCGGAAGGCGAGACGGACCAACGGCACCCAGTTTGGTCGTCAGTGACTTCATTTCCCGCTGCCAAGTCAACTTCTGTCCACCTCGAGCCTTGCGCCATCCTACACCTGGTAGACTGAACAAGACCCTCCTAGGTAAGCGGTGACAAGACATACGTAGCACGTGCCCGAGCCAACGCAACTTATTCAGTGCTATCTGTTGTTCTAGGGAGCTAGCATGATTATCACTACCTAGTACTCGCCTACGCACATCATCGTTGCGGATACGCTGGTGCCATCCAACACCAGCAACGCTTCGCAAACAACGATGATCAAAGACTTGAAGGCGCCTCAGATCTTCAGACCGAAGGGTCCAAGTCTCACGACCATAGAGCAGAACGGCCCTCACTGTGGCCTTGTATACACGGCCTTTCAGACGGAAGGAAACTCCCTTCTGTCGCCAAAGGTGCCGCAGGTTCAAGAAGGCAGCTCTGGCCTTTGCAATGCGTGAACTCACGTCAGTTCCTATGCGCCCATCATTGCTGATGCAGCTGCCAAGATACGTGAATTGATCAACTACCTTGAGTTCCTCGTTAGCAAGGGTCATTGGGTCACAAAGTAGCTTATAGCGTTGCAGCAACACTTTGAAGGTGCGAAATGCATACCAAATAATGGGACCACTCTGGACAGGCTACTCAAGGTTGATTATGCCGTCACATCATCGAAAAGCAAGACGATATCGTCTGCATAATCAAGATCAACTAACCTTTCACCAGGTAGCACTTCAACGCCTACATCATGAGATTCCATCAAAGAACACCCCATGATAGAATCCACGACGAAATTGAACAAAAATGGGGAAATCGGACAACCCTGACGAATGCCATTTGTAGTCGAAAAGCTATCCGATAGGGCACCATAGACCCTGACGCGGCCTGTAGTGTTCGAGCATAGAGCACGAATGATGTTCACATATTTCGTGGGAACACCTTTCCGCGCAAGTATTTCGAACAGAATAGATCGATCGACTGAATCGAGCGCACTCTTGAAATCGAGGAACACAGCTATTGTCGGTCTGCGGTATGCGTGGCGCTGCTCTAGCACCTGCCGCAAAGTAAATATATGGTCTATACAGCCACGTCCTGGACGAAAACCGGCCTGCTCTTCCCTAATCCGAGATTCCCATTCTGCAGTGAGGTGACGAACGATAATCGAGGCCAGTAATTTTGTCACAACTGGCGTTAGGCTAACACCTCTGTGATTCGCACAGTCTGTGCGACTGCCCTTCTTGTATATTGCAACTATAATCGATTAGCTCCAATTAGCCGGCACACTCTCTTCGTT